GTTTATGCAATTAGATCACAATTCACGATATTTCTTTTTCATTGCATCATTTAACTACATAAGATGAGTGGCACAAACGTGTGATATAAACATAATTCTTTTTTTATTCATTAGCATCATGTAACGTGGTAACATTATGAGCTTTCACTGCTAATTTTATAGCCTGACAATATGGTGTTCCGGCTCGCAAAGTAAATAGGCGAAAGATGGTGGGGAAACGCGTACTCTACTGTCTTGTCTACAATTTACATAACTATGCAAATGACGCGGCGGCAATTAGACTACAAGGTTCGCCGGGTTTACTTTTTCTTTGCTCAAGGTTTTTCTTGAAACATCTTACACGACATATTGTGCAAAAAGTGAAGCATAAATTATCCAAGGTGATAAAGAAAGTATTTTTAACATTGAATATAATTTCATAGATGTGAGTAGAGCACATAATTATATAATACATTACCACGTAGTGTGGATTACTTTTTCATTTTCCTTATTGAACGTTGGAAACAGCTGCGTTTGTATATCCCGCGTAATTTACGTAATCCCTACAAGATAGAAATACAAAGAGGATGAAGAGGAGGATGTGGAAGGCGCACGAGATAGCCAGAGGCGTCGCAATACCGGCATCGGAAGCCTTCACGAATAAAACCATATTATTAGATCGGGCCCTACCAGCGGGGTACCACCCGCAACCGGCTTCCACGGACTCTGATTAATCGAGACCCAGGTCTCTCTCTCCGCCTCTCTCTATCTTTGCCTTTTCTCTCTTCTCAGATCTCTATTCCCGAAGCAGCTATAAACTTCCTAGATGAGAGCGCCTTTCGCGGCGCCAGATCTCTGTTATTAAACGCATATCAATCAGCTAGGTCGCGAGGGGAGCGAGAGGGAGAGAGGCAGACGCTTTGATGCGCTTTTAAATGCGCCCCGCTTGATTTATCGACCGCTTCCTCCGATTTCGAGCGATTCGAGATGACGACCTTGGACGCCGAAGTCGTCTCATCAATTCGCGGATAATGAAGATCAAACACGTTCGAAGTGGTGACCGAAGGTGCGCGAGTTCGATCGAATCTTCACCAAACTTGACCGAGAAACTGATATTTTTGAGATTTTATAAAACAAATCAATACTTTCGAGATTTTTCGATACTCTATTAAACAAAAATAAGAATTCATTAACTGCATGATTTGCTAATTGAGAAACAATTTATTCTTGTCGAATGACATCCTATTGACCGCAATTATCCAATCGATTTTGTCATCGCGGTATCTTGCACGTTGATCTCGTCACGAAAATCAGCTGTGTTGCAGTTAACATGAGTACATGAGTAATGCGATGATTAAATACGATCAATAATTACGTGTTTTTTAGTACTCACGACGCCACTCGCACACGGCTCGATTTTAATTTAAAGTGATATCGGCACTGAAAAATACCAACCGTCAAGTAATATAAATATCTATGTGGACCTTCTACATTTCTGTGACACGCTAATTTTCTGTGATTTATATGTTAGTTATATAAATTAAAAATTTATTGATTTAGGAATGTTGCAAGTGCAATCTATTCAAATGTATATATTGTAAAAAAATTCGATAAATTTACCCAAATATAATGTAAGAATTACACGAGAAATAACAAAAGATATGAAATAAATAGTATAAAATTTATAAAATCATATGCCTAAGTTTATAATATTTATTTAATACATATTTCCTTCATTTATCGTGTAATTTTTACATTTTATTTGTGTAAATTTATCGAATTTTTGTTACAGTGTATCCGTGATGTAAAATAGGCCGCGTAAAATTTTTTAATTTAGGCCGGCGTCAATTTTTCGATTTTCTTTCTATTCTAGCTGCATCTTCAACCGGATGATACGGTACTTATGGAAAGTTCGACACGGTACGAATACGTTATCGTGGAAATAATTACAGTCGGCACAAGTAGGATCGTGCGAATCACAATTTAAAAATGCGCATATTTCGTCAAGCGTTACTAAATATTGATGCAACAAACGCAACAGTTACTGCGTTAAACGCTGTGAATATAGGTATAACAATGTTATAACACAATGTTAAGTTATAAATTACACGCGTAGAATAGATAACTTTATTAAGATAATAGTTATTTTTAACAAACACATGTAATTTATACTCAGAATACTGTTATTTTGTCGAATAAAAAATAAAATAAAAAATTAAAAAAGAGAATCAAATAAATCAATAAATCAATCAATGAAGAAAATCAAATAAAGAAATGCAAAAATACAACATTGTACGATCGTCGTACGACCATTATAATCGGATCAATTAAAAAATGAAAATATTTGTGACCGTTTTTTTTATAATTTGAAATTAATGCATGTACTCTTTTTTTACCATAATTGTTTAACTTTCATTATTGCATAATATAATAAATCTTGATATGGTGCAATCTAATTAAATCGCTATTTTTAAACATATACTACGTATTATTAATATGTTTAATATCCTTTTTAGAAAAAACTTGTTTTAATTAATAAAAATTATTTGTTGATATCGATAGTCAGTTAAAAATTGGCAGAGATTATTGTCGGAAGAATATCGATCTAATATGTGAGGACCGATAAGATGCTGCACCAAAGACATACAAGACATCGGAACGTGCGGCTGGTGTTCCTACAGGGACACAAAAAGATGCGTCGTGTGGCAAGGATTCTTATCAGATTCGATCTAGCTTCCTGATAGTTAATTAACGAGTTCATTATGCACCCTTGCCCTCTGTGGGCCGAGACCCGCATCTTTTCAGGGCCTTGTAGAAGCTGTGGGGCCCGAAGTGAGGCATTACGGAGATCCTGGGCAGATAACAACGGCCCAGTGGATGGCGCTATTTTATTGCATCACGATTCCCGACGGGATCGCGGCGACGGCGCATCGGACCTGGCGCGCATTGCTTTTTAGAACTTTCAGAAGCGCCCGTGAAACTTTTACGTGAAAACGATTGCACACTCATCGATCGTATTTTGCGCATACATTATCTTATCCTCTTTCTCAAATTGTACAAACGGAATTTAATACTAAACTAGATTATTCGGAAAATAATAATCGATTTTATCTAATTTTAATGTGTACATTTTCTTCATTATATATTATATATACAAGATAAATAATTTTGTAAATTAATATTATTAATATATATCGTTGAAGAGCCTTCTATATATTACTGTTAGAATTTCTCATAAATTCAATTTACACTATTTATAAATGCTAAATTTTCTTTTTATTGCTTATTTTTTACTTCATTTTCTACAATTTCCTTAATATATTATTAACAAAATAACTTTAACATTGCAACTTTGTTATATTATTATTTTGCTTTACTATTTCATAATTTTATTGTACTCCTAAATGATACACATATTTTTTAATATTTTTCTGAAAATAACAATTGACCATTACTTTCCGAGTAATCTATATTATAACAAACAAATTTACTCACCAGTTGGTGACGCTGCACTGCTGCACTGCACCCCGTTGCACTGCCAAACCTGCTCTATTGCCATCTTACTGCATTGTTATCCCGATGTACTTGCCCTCCGGTGTATTACCGCTCGAATGCATTCCTCTGTTCTATTCTGTCTGTTGATCCAGCTCCGAATCATTCGTGATCACACACATGCACTAATCACTTGAGTACGATAATCGTCTATTGTTTCATTCGGCACTATTATGATATCCGCGAATATATATAACGTATTTCGAATAAACACACGCCACGAAATATGAACAAATTTATACGACACTCCCGATTTATTATAAACAACGCGTGTATAAATGCGTCTCTACAATCTTGCGATAAATCTGTGATGTCTTTGATTATATAGATGATAGGTAGCACTCGTAATATTTGTCCGACGATTAAAACACGTATAACTCGTATAACCGCGAAATATGCATAAAAAATATATATAAACACAAAGTCCTTCGGTGAAACGTAAAATAATCGGCTCTGCGATTTTAAATAACAAAAAACATGCTGAACGTAATTGCATGGCCATATTAGTGCCTCGATATGATTGCCTATCACTAAATTCGATACTACCGACACTTGATACACGGAATTTGCAAGGAACAGTGAAAAAATATAATAACGCGATGCGATTATAATATTCTGTCGAGAAACTGGGACGCTCGAAAGTTAAGACCAATCATTCATAACCAAAAACTCACAGCGTCTTCCTGCGTCTAACCTAACCTAACATAATCTCACGTGGCGAATATTTTTATATCTCAAACAATACCTCATTTACTTTAATGAATCGATTACGATAATCTTTTGATGCTTTTGTTGATATGCTCGATATTGCGATAATGGATTGCATTCGCGATGCTTGTTCGATAAACGAATAATGTGAAATACGTATGAATGATGCAAATCGGTGGAATTCTAACACCTAACACCGGTGTGCTCAACGTGAACTGAGTGGTTGTACAAATTCAAGATGTCGGTAATTGTACTATGTTCGTGCAACTAGTCGCATCCGTCATTACGCGATGAATATCTCAATATCTCAAACGATATTTTATTTGTTTTGATGAATTTATCACGGTAATTTTTCGATATTTCCGTTAATATTTTTCGATTTTGCGGATGGTAAATGGCATTCATAATGTACGTTCGAATGAATAACGTGAAATACGTATGAAAGATGCATATCAAAAAACAAAATCCCGCGACGGAACGCGAAGTGATTTTGAATAACGAAAAGCACGCTAGTGAGTGTGCCGGCAAGATTATACCTCAAAATGCTTACCCATAACTCTTACTTTAAAAAGATGCAAGGACACAGAGCGATCGCAACTGAACCGGGACGCTCGACGCGAATTATATTCCGCGAACCGCGTAGTAATACATATACGCGATGTCGTGTGTTTGCATCTCATTTCCACTGTCACCGCGTCTGTGTTCTAGCATCAGTTGTTATAACCAAATTCAGATGTCACTACATTCGTGTAGCTAATCTCATACCATGACGCAGCAAATTTCGATAGCAATACCTTGCTTTAATGAATCTATTACGGTGATCTCTCGATGCTTTTCTTGATGCTCCTTGATACTGCTGGAGATGCATCGTTCAATGGATGAGTGAGTAACGCAGAATACATACGAAAGATGCATATTAACAAGTTGATTTCTATGGCGAAACGTACAGCAGATTAGACGATTTCAAATGACGAGAAATGCGCTAATCACTATCACGCAGATAAAGCACAGGTAAATACTTTGGAACAATCATCTAATGCCAAATTTAACATTTTAGATAGTAATTTGTATGGAATGACATGGGTAAAAGAGATGCAAAGTCACAGAACGATTCATCTGTGATATCCCGTCGTTCGATTCGGACCGACCATAACCTCATAATAATACGCAACAAAAACATTCTCTCAGCGACAAAATTTTTTTAATATCACTATATTTACACTTCTGATGGCCTGATAAACAAACATAGTGGATCGTATGACTTGAAACAACTTATTTATTTCGACGTATATAACGCAGAAATATAATTTTTATATCACTCTCTTTTCTCAAATCATCTTACTCCAAGATGATTATAGTGAAAATTTAATCATTTTAAATTCGATATATTCAAGTCTTGGACATTATCATAAGTCAAATTATTTTTAACATTATTTTGTCATTCGTAAATAGATTATGTGATATGTTAAATAATATTATTTCTATATATAGTTTTTTTATGCTTTTTGCATTACAAAGCTTCAAACTAAAATAACTTTATTTAAACTAGTGTACAAAATGCAAAATTATAACAAAGTAAGCTCATCATTGCTTTATGTAGGACTGTTGGTTGTCATAAAATCTGTCAGTGTTAAGATTTATACTATACCCTAAAGAAAGGTGTGTAATAGCGCTATTAGCGCCCTGTTTGCGCATGCATAATAACATCCGCCTGGCAGTAATCATTTTGCGCTAAAGACGCGCTAAAATGCGTCCCAGACTTGAATCTTTAACGTTCTACAAATGCCTCGATTATTTCTTTTCCAACCTGCGTCCGGCAGCCTCTGATCTCTCTCGGCTCTATTTAATTTCCTAGAAAACACCACGGCGGTTTCTGGGGGCAACAGCATCAATCACCCCACCTGACATGAAAGCTGTAATTTGGCTAATCCGGTTCGAAGCCCTTCCTTCGCTCATTTTACCGATGGCCTTCGCACCCCATGAGTAAAGCATCTTCCAAACGGTGAGTTTGACCAAATTGTAAATGCGAGATCGTTTTATGATTCATTGTTTGAAAATTTGCATAATCAACGATAAACTGTGGCAGAAACAGAATATAAAAACTCTGCACAAGCTACACAAGCATTGCATTACTATTTTTACAATAACTGCAAAGAATAAACTGTGGTAGTTATTTATATTTAGCAAACATTTTTGATAAAAAGAAAAACATAAATTATGTATATAACGCGCTTTATATCTCACGCCGATAAAAATTTATATTTATTCAAAAGTTTTTTGAAAATATTTATTAAGTTTATTAAAAATATTAACCGTGCGCGTAAATAATAACGCAATCTCAAGAGGTTCAACAAACAAAAGCGATACAGAAAACTTTTGGCGAGCAAGTCGGCGCAAATTTGTCGAGAGATCCTCGGTCGAGGAAGCGGCATAACGAAGACGAAGTGATTATAGGGGTGGCGCTAGAAATCTTCAGATGATTTACATCCCGGCGAGACTCGAGAGTCGGCCTAGTCTAGTTCTAAATCTCTCAGCTTAAATATCTGCAGTCAAGCGTACTGCTAGACGCGGGCCGTCCCTCCTGGCAACATTTAAATATTTCTCGCACCATTCATAAATTCGTCAGTATACGCACACGAAATTACCCAACCCCGACCAAAAAGAGCGACCGCACCTTCTCACGAATCCTTGCTAGGCTTTATACACCGAAGACAAAAGAGACTCTAAAAGTGGCCTTGGGTCAACATTTTATGGGTGGTCGTGTAGTTAAATTGAGAATGATTACATGCAAATTGTGTAAAATTTAGATTCCTGATGTTACGAAATGTTTCTAAAATTGCATACCTAGCATTATTTGAATTGTATATAATCTCTACAAAAACTTAATTCTAACTCGAAATCTCATATGTTGACACAATATTATATAAATTATATTAGAATCGGCATCTTACTTTTTGATAATAAGCCTATCGGATTTCCAGACATAAAAATTGAAATTTTTGTATGTATAATTGCATTTTAAACGGTGGAGAATATTTTATTGAGAGTAGAACAGAAATATTCCATGAATGACGCGAAGTCGCACGCTGATTCCCCAAGAAAACGATCACGCCATGACTTACATTGCTCGTAAAAGCTGTTCGTTCCAGGAACACCTGGACGAGGTCAGGAATATTTTTTAGGTCTCGCGCGAGATGTAACTGCTCACAATGAAAACCGTTCCAGTCACGTAAACATTGTCCAGAACGGCATGGAATACAATGCCTTAGGTGTTAACGAGATTCAGGTGGAATCCGGTCGCTGGAAACCAGATTCAACGAAACGAAGGTGTCTAGCGCGAAAATGATGTCCGATTCGTGATCGCGATTGCATATATCTTATTAAAACAATATGATTTTACAGCAATATAAGATATAAAAGTAACTATTTCATATGATTGATAATTAATCTTTAATTTTACATCGCTTCTATGTTATTCCAGAAAATGCTTGAGATAAAAATGTTAGATAATTTTTTTACAATTTAACTTATATTGTGTGCTTCAAGTTTTTCAATTTGATTTACATTTTAAACATGAACATTCATTGTCACACGCGTATTTTTCTTCGAAAGAGGATTCTTAAGGATTCCTAATTAGGGAACTAATAAAGTTGATGCGTTTTACGATTTTATCCGTGATTCTGACGCTATTTTCAGCGAAATTCTAAAACTTGCTCGATCGTATGGGGAACGAGCCATTGTTTGCAGAGTAAAGCGCGCAAGATGATCTCGACCGCGATGATAATCGATCTTATTGCAATCCTGTCCAGCGGAACGTAATACCGTGAATCTAGCATCCGTGCGAGCACTGGCTATTATCGATCCGCGAAAACTGGATAAAATCGCGCTCTTAGTGTTGAGATAACGCATCATCGATAACTTGACATAGTAGCAGTTTACACGATAAACATAAGTTACATACACCATTGTGTAAGAAAATCACTCTTGATTCATTAAAATTAATTTTATAATAAGTTTTTCTTATATATATATTTTAATATAAACATTTATTTTTTACGAAGTGATAATAATAAGATTAGATTGATTGTTTATAAAAATAATTTCCATCTTTGTTAATCGCAAACTGAATCTTACTCTTATAATTCATGACATTCTGACGATATTATTCTCGCACGAAACTCCAATGCGATGTTAATTACCATCTATATCCTCGCGGCGTATATTACAAAGCGTGATTCACATAATTAAAAAATTTCAAGTACCTATTTGAACAAAAGTGCAATGAGTTCACGATTAGTCGGATTGTGCAATCTGCATTTAATAAAGCCAATGGTACTCACATCGTTAACGAGAAGACGCGGAAGAAAATTTGATTCAGAAGGCATACAAATTCTCCGTAATTGTCTTATTTACTTGAATGAGATTAATTCGCGAAGCTAGAACACAGATAGTGGAGCGCAAATTACACGGCTTTGACTTGAAACATGCAATTCGCACCTTGTTGCATCCTTCTGGAGAGAATTTATCCTAGATTTACATATTTATTACTTTGATTTCAAAAGCAAGATGATAACAAAGAATCTTGAATAAAAATTGTATGCTGTATCGCGTCACAAAGAGACAAAGCGAGAAAGAAAGAAAGAGGGGGAGGGAAGGTTGTAAGGTGAAACGTGTTGCCACTCATTCGACGCGTCATTCTATATCGTCATTAGCATACCGGGAAAAAGGCACACGAATACAAACGCGATGAATCCCATCGATAGGATCGCGCGATCGCTCCTCCCGACGATAATGCTACACGAGGGTCCGGTTTTTCGCGGTGGCTCGGTCATCGTCCACCTGGTTGTGCGCACATCTCGTTGTAATACTCGGCCGCGCGTCGGCCCGACCGCGGAGTAATGCAATAATAGGCGTATACTAATGATACGGGGGGGCCACGCGGGACGGCCAGGCGAAGAGGATTCAGTCACGTAGTTGCATTAAACTTAATATAAATAATAGCGGTTTGTGGAGCGTCCGGGTGAGCCGCGCGGACGGCGTGTATATATCTATCTCCATCTACCTATCCGCCGCCGCTCTCTCGCCGGGACCATAATACACCGAGGCCTCTACGTCCCTGGACTCGCCTCCACTTAATAAGCAGGATCGTCCTGAATCACTACGGCAGCCGGGGCTCACCTCACATCTCTCGGGGTCGTTACCGTTGCGGTGCAGCCTCTCCTCGGTGAAATGCTCTCTCGGATCGAATTATTGGTTCTCGGCGTACGAATATATAATTCTCTCGACTCGCGAATATCGGCGCGTCGCTATTGTGATAATGATCCGCCGTTAGACTATTGTTGGACAATTTACACATTTTTATTTGTCAAGGAGTTGTTCACGAATAGCGATTTATTGAAGGATAAAATAGAAGATTTCTAATGCAACTCTCATTATTACTTTTGAACTCATTTGTAAATTCGACACGGATTTGTTAAGAACAAGAGCAAAAGGATTTATCATCAGGGCTTGAAATATTACATCGCAAACAAATTACAATTCGATCTAATTCGATCGATGTCACTGAACGAAGTAGATCAAGTTATAATTCGTTTGCGATGTAATATTTCAAGCACTCTCAAATTAAGAATATCACATTGCATTCTTTTATTACTTTCAAATTATTATTTTAATTTTATTTCGAATTATATTATCATTACATTATTACTATTACAATTTAGATTTAGATTTATTAAAATTTTTTAAATCCAAGTAATTCTCCTTTTTCTACCAAATTTATATTTGTCTTATGATAAAAATTATTGCAGCTGAAGTAGCGATAAGTGCAAATATTTAAAAGAAAGGATTTACATTACAGTATACATAATAGTATATATAATATATTCGACAGCTTAAGTGCAAGTTATGTTTGTTCCAGTTTATGCGTGGGGCTTATTTACAATTCTTACAAGTCCCCACTCCAAAAATTTTCTATTTTTCTGTATGTCTTTTTTCCAGATGATATTTCGTGTATTATAATCAGTTGAAGGAATTTTTAAATACGAGAAATTGTATATGTCTAATTCCATCTAGTGTGTGAAAGTTGACATATAATCCAAGATATATATATATATATATTGCCAAAATTGTGTCGCGCGATCAAGCAGCTTCTACATATATTCGGCAGTGTGTATGACATTCGACGCTTGTGTATATCAACTTTTATGTACTAGATGGAGTTTGACATGATGATTATCTCGTATTCAAAAATACGATCAACTTGTTATAATATGTAAGCGCTTTATATGTAATTTTCATTAATTTTTTTTTTATTTTAGGTGCTTTGTTGTTGTTTGGTAACTAATTTTTGTAGCACTGTGGGGATAGCACTATTCACCCCACGCATAACTGCATAAGCATAAATTATTACTATTATTATATATATATATATATATATAGAACTCTATATATCATGTATCTTAATGTTAGACTTCTTATTTGAATATATGCACATATTATTATTAGCATGAACTTAATTAATGAATAATAATTTGAGTTCGAATGTATTTTGTAAATATAAAAGCGAAAAAGTATCAGGGCCTGCTGGTTCTGCTCAGTTCAATAGTTAAAAGTATATATAATTAGTGGAGATTACATCTCTATACATATTTATGTATATTAATTCCAACGCGATATAACAGAAAAGAGCAAGAGACAAAGTCGGTAGACGAATAAAGATAGATCTCGATCATTAGAATCAATCAATCCATCGATCACTCTTTTGAATTATAAATCTTGAAACTCGAAAGAGTCGTGCCTTTCCAGAGTTTAAGAAATAATAAGCGTGACCATAGCTGTTTCCCTTTTACCCCCACAGGTCGGTGAACAGGGCCGTTAACGTTATTAAATTATCATATCTGCAATTCAATGCACCGTTGTTGCTTGCCGCGATTGCATGTTCTTACTTCGCATTCGCTAGTTGTAAAATTCCAACCAGCATTATTAAACTTCCTTCTGTGCCGC